TTTTGAAATCTTTAGTGGCTCGCAAAAGTAAACTTATAGAATTATGATCAGCAGCACTAGTTAAATCTGGTCACACCAGTTTAGTATGGTGGAAAGCATTTAGAGTCTTCAATAACCACAGTATACAGGGTGGATGTCAAGGCCGGAAATATGTGTTTGCAGCGTTTCATAATAAATTAGGATTTGAAATAATAATAATGAGATACGTTCACATCATACCCTAATGATAGTGACGTCAATTTACGTTTAATATGTCCATTATTATTCATTTCCATTTTATAAAATACGTTTCATTTTCTGTTACTAATATGTTCGTCGGTGGTTCCCAAGCTACCTGAGCTTTCTTACAAAAGTCCCTAATGTAATTCCACTGTGACATCAAATTCCATTTGTGTTGGCAGTCGACCAGTACCACAACAAATATAACTCCATTTATCAATCCCCAATATTTGTCATTACAATTATTTAATGAATTTTTCAAAACACTTAAATCAACTCGTTGTTTTATCAAGGCCACCTTCCCCTTCACCTCAATTATTTTTCACACCATCACTAACAATAATCATGTTTGGAGTACATATTATGACTGAAAAGTTACCTCACAAATCTAATCGCGGGCCTTGTGCAAGTTTTCATTCTTTTCCATCGCTCGTAACTTTTTCAATTTTTTTTCTTTGCCTCCTTGTTCGCCACATCACTGCATGGCAGTGAGTATACTTACATGATCACAGTTTGTATAAATCATTATAGAATAAAATTGTTCTACTTGGTTGCACAACACAGAAGGTTATATTTTCTTTCTACTTCAATGTCTCCATGCTGTACGTAGCGTGGTATTTTTGTACTAACTTTGAACATGCAAGATTTATGTACCTACATGACAGTTGTTGATTTCCACAGTGAAGTTTAGTATGCACTATTGAGCGTATATCTGCACAACCAAAATTGAGGCTTTCAGCCTATTATTTGAAGAGCTGTTTGACTTGGTACTCAGTTAAGCAGTTGGTTAAGCAGTTTCTCGAGTTATATCTAAATCAACTTCATCTTTGAACAATTGAACATACCACGTAATCAATTGCTAAGTGTTATTACGAAAATCAGGATGCATAGTAAAGGTTTATTTATTGGACCTTTTTTATGTGGTATATATACATGTGCATAACAAATTAAGTAAACATAGTACACATTGTTTGCGCGGAAAGACATGAATTGTGTTATGAATTTACTACATATAAAGACATTCACTTTTGTATAGAAAACATGCCGGTTAAATATCAGGGCAGGTGGTCTATATTTATACGAATAATATGCTATATTTCCAGCTAGCAAAACAATTATTAAAAAAAGTAACTATCAAGTTTTATATTTAAATCATGTTTATAATGACTAGGCAAAGTGCCATGGATTAGGACAAATACATCAAGATATAAAGTTTGACGTGTTATTTACTTACAACAATTTATTACATTAATAATTAACGACATTTTGTGCTAATTATG